TTTCCCAAGAGCTGGAGGTATTCAGACTCTGACCTAAACTGCAGTGAGCTTTGAAGAGAACACACTGGATTTCAGTAAAAAGTGCTATTGTCCATCTCTGTGAGCTTGCATGGACCACTGGCAACCACTGCAATGCGAGTCCTTGGTTTCAATGAGCACCCAGCTGCACAGGGACTGTGCTTCAGGGGCACCCAGCACATGAGGGTGTCCTTGAGCAGAAATGCACCTGAGAGCTGAAGCTTGGCTGTGCTTTTTGCAGTGAGAATGCTGACCAAGCAGCTGAAGTGTATAATCTACAGAAAATCACCCTGCTTCGTGAAATCTCCCTCAAAACTGGAGTGCAGGTAAGATCCACATCTTCCCTCCCTTCCCCATCATGTTCTGTACTGAGAAACGTGACGAGTGAGTGTGAGCTGCTTTGCAGGGGACAACCTTTCAGACAGACACTGCGGGCCCCTAAAGGTCCCTGTGGTGTTAATGGTGGAATATCATAGAGTCATGGAATGGCAGGTTCCAGCTCTTGGGAATGGGATTTCTAATCCAGTTCCTTTTTAAGGTAAACTCGCTGTGCATCTCCTTTGGGAAAGGAGCCAGCCTGAGTACAATTCCTGCAGCTTGCTCGATCTGACAGACCAAACTGACAGCTTCAGTTCATGCACACGCCTACTCCCCATCCAAACAGGAGCTCTTGAGCTGGGCAGAGGACTTCAGGGTTGTCTTTCCTTTAAGAAAAGGGGGTTTGGGGTGCAGGAGTTTGGCTGGGTGGGGTTCCCCTGTCAGGGGCTCCAGTACTGACACGACCATGCCTTGGCACCACAGTGCAATTTCACCATGCACACGTGGTGGTGTTGCCTACACGTGGCCTTCTGGCAAAACTCTGGCCCCAGGTAGTGATACAGGAGATGTTTTGACTGTGAATGCAGAATTCAAGGTTCATTTTCCCCTCTTTTCTTGCCAAGTACCTCTGAAAGCGGTGACCGTGACCTCTGGTCTGTTTGGTTCCTCCAGATACTGCTGAAGGAGTACAACTTTGACAACAGGCACAAGCCCACCTTCACGGAAGAGGATATTCTCAACATCTTCCCCGTAGTGAAGCATGTGAACCCCAAAGCCTCAGATGCTTTCCACTTCTTCCAGAGCGGGCAAGCAAAGGTTCAGCAAGGTACAGACCCAACATGCTTCTGCCTCTTGAGACAACTGCTGATAAAAGGAGGAGCAGGGCATGTGTGGCATGGCCACCAATCCATCCCCACCCGTCCTGTTTTGGTAGAGAATCGTGGTCTCTAAGACCATCTGAAACACACACCTGCTATAAAGTTACCAACAATGAATGAGGATGGATGGAGGGCAGCAATTTCCTTCTCCCAGGCTTTAGTCCTTACCCAAGGCAGTGAGCTATGGCTACATGTCCCACTACTGCTTCCACTTCATGGGCAACACGCTTCTCTGGTAGTATTGAGAGTTTTTAACATAATACATGAATATAACTCTTCTCAGGTTTCTTGAAGGAGGGCTGCGAGCTCATCAATGAAGCCTTAAACTTGTTCAACAATGTGTATGGTGCTATGCATGTAGAAATCTGTGCCTGCCTGAGGCTGCTAGCTCGTCTCAACTATATCATGGGAGATTATTCAGAGGTAAGCAAGGGCTTGGGTAGGGTCTGTTTAGTCCTCTCGTTCCTTCCCCGTGCTTGCTCACTCGCTCAAGTGCACAGCACTCTGACTTGCTCTTGGGTCTTCTGTTCTCTTTAGGCCTTAAGCAATCAGCAGAAAGCGGTGCTAATGAGTGAGAGGGTCCTGGGTATTGAACATCCCAACACGATCCAAGAATACGTGAGTACAGGGTGCTGGGGGAGAAGCAGCACTTCGTGTGTCCAGCTGGAATCTGTGAGCCTTAATTCCTGTCTGCATCTAGAAAACAGTTGCAGTTCTTCTTCCTTCTACAGTGTTTTTCCCAGAATCCTCCACTCTCATCATAAGTTTTGTATCTTATGATTTTGTAAACCAGATAGCTAAGTGTTTGCCTTGTAAGGTCCTTCCTGGTCAGCATTTGTCCTACTTAGTTTAGAATTTTGGGGTTTTGTCTGCTAAAGTTTATTCATATTCATTAATTCTGCTGGCTTTTGCCCTGGGCTTATGTCAAAAACAAAGAAAGAGGAAGAATCCCCCCCAAAAGCACCCTCAGAATATCACATGCATACAGGGCAGTTCTGAAATACTCCTTGAGGTGCATAAGAAAAACTGAAATGAAACTCCTCAGCTTTCTCAGTGCTGTGTCTTGTGTGATACTTGAGTGGAGCTGTAAATCAGCCAGCAGAGCTGAAGTTTTCTGAGGGGCTGAAATCCTTTTTAACCACAAAGAAACACCTTTTTATGTGTGTGCAGCTGAAGAAAGGAGTAGAAAGGGGAGATTAGTTTGCTTTGCAGAGGTGTAAGGAAAAGCCATTCATGCTGGGTTACTCCTTTTGTTACAGATGCACCTTGCTTTGTACTGCTTTGCAAACAGCCAGCTCTCCACAGCATTGAACTTGCTGTACCGTGCACGCTACCTCATGCTCTTGGTATTTGGGGAGGATCACCCAGAAATGGCACTCTTAGATGTGAGTAATCTTGTAGTGTCTTCAAGTTTCTAATCTCCAGAAAACCTTTTGGCCTTTAAAATGCCCATAGTGCTGCTGTTTAAAAACAACATTGAGGCACTGATTTTTTTTTTCCTCCCTGGGTTACTGCCGGTTGGTGCCATTAGAAGGGCAAAAAGGAGTTTGACTCTCTAGCTGGGAAGACCAGGCTTCTGTGGCTGGAGCTCTGCATGGGGACACGGGAGACGTGGATTCGAGCGCCTGTAGTCCTTGGGCAGATTCCTTAATTCAGCCTGTTGTTGTTGCCCTTGTGTAAAACGGACAGAGTTCCTTATCTCTCTTTTGTCTGGCTTGTTTGGATGGAGCTCCCAAGGAGGGGAATGGTCTCCCATCATGTGATACATGCTGTGGAGAGAACCACTGGGGACAAATGGCTGCTACAGCCTTTTCAACAGCAAAATACCGCTGTGGTCTTGGTATTTAGGAAGCAATAAATGTGTAGTGTGAATTTGCTTTCTGAATGCCTACTTGACTTTGTGCAGAACAACATTGGCTTGGTGCTCCACGGGGTTATGGAGTATGACCTGTCCCTCCGGTTCCTGGAGAACGCGCTGGCCATCAGCTCCAAGTATCACGGCTCCAAGTCTTTGAAAGTTGCACTAAGGTGAGGCAGGGTGGAGTGCTGGGCTGGGTCACCGTGCTGTGAGAGAGTGAGCACATTCACCATGTGCTCATGTGGGAGGGCGCTGATCCGGCTGCGTCCAGCTGTATCCTGTTAAATCCTGTGCTGAGTCTCGTCCCGGCTGTCAGAATCCTTGGGACTGCTGTCAAGGTCATGGTGCAGCATCCAAGTTTGTCTAGAAAGATGGAGATCCCTTGTTATTAAAGATAATGGTGGGATCTGTTGTAATGCTGCTCGCCCCAAAAATCTGTCAGGATGACCCTGGTCCTTGTGGACTCTCAGTAGAAAAATGTGTGTGTCGAGTGAGGGTTGGAGAGCAAGGCTGGTGTAATTAGACTGGGAGACTGGGATGGTACGTAAACACTTGTATGTAATTGTTCCAGCCCTCGGGGAGCTATCTTTGTGGAGCATATAATTTCCTTTTGTCCTTTACCATAAAGCCTTGTATTTGAATAAAATACCGAGTGGCTTCCTCATGTTTCCAGGGGAGCTCTGAGTGGTCGGCACCTTTAGGATCTGTTCTCAATACCCACTGCTCTTCAGCGCTGCCCGCACAGTCCTTGAATGCAAAACTGGCTCCCTATCAACCGAGCAGTGGCCCACTCCTAATTGCTGCTACCACATTGCAACCCATCTGTTCTTCGTCAGGGTGAAAATAAATCTTATTAAGCACCCACAAGAGTCTGATTTGTTTTCCAGCAGTTGATGGATATGCATTCTGCAGAAAGCATCTTGCCTTCCCTTCGTAGCACGGGGATGCTTGATGAGATTCATCACCTCCCACAGAGCAGCACTGCCAAAACCAGAAATCTGATTTTCATTCCAGAAACACTAAGGAAGCAAAGTCCAAGCCAAGTCAGCTCTCCCAACTGGAGAGAGCCCAGGTGACTTGGGTCCCAGCTCTGCCACTGTTTTGCTGGTTGTTTCTGTGCCAGAGAATTTTCTTACTCTTGGCTGTGAATAATCAAGTAATTCTCACGTTTTCTTTCTAAGAAACAAAAAGACCCTTTTTGAAGGGTAAAGGGCTTGTGGCTGCTTCATTCTTCTCCTGTTAACACATCCAGCCCTGAGATGTTCCCATGGATGTGCTGCCTCTCTTCAGTTCAGTGCTGTGACCTTCAGCTTTCCTGGGTGCAGGAGAAAAAAAATCCCCAGTTCCATCTTTATTTCTGTAGGTCATTTCTCAGCATTTCCATGAAAATCCCACCCAAATCAGGGTAGTGTATTAATCTCCAAACAGGGTGGGGAGAAGTAACCACCAGGGCATCCGGAGTCCAGTGTTTGCTTCCTTTGACGCTGGCATTAAGACTTCCAGCCTAAATGTTGTGTTAAGGTCATGCTCGCTGTAGTGCCGAAATGTTTCTTCATGGAAGTGCCTCTAAAGGCTTCTCCTTCCCTCAGCCACCACTTGGTTGCCCGAGTGTACGAGAGCAAAGCAGAATTCCGGTCGGCTCTGCAGCACGAGAAGGAAGGCTACACCATCTACAAAAACCAGGTACCGAGCACGCACTTTGTGTCATTCCACTTCTCTGCCAGAAATGAGCCATAATTGACTGGTTTTATGCTAAAAGTTTGAGCAGCCTTCCTGCAGGTTTGTTTGTCCTCTGTCCCTGTCGATGGACAGAAGATTCTGTGGGTGACACGGCCCCGCGTTCTGGCACCGCTGAAGGAGCTGGTCTGTTCTTTCCCCTTCAGGCACCACTTCTCTTTTAAATACCAAATCCAGACGAGTTTGGTAGTTGAGCAGTTTCATGGGCAACACCTTGTCCCGCTGGCAGCCCTTGCTGATGCACAGTGAAGCCTCTGCCTCGGCCGGGGTCTGTCTGAACACGTCGGCCGTTGTACGCGGTGATTCAGCGCCGGCTCAGGGCCTGAACGCACGGCCCGGTGGAGGGAATGCTGCTTGCCCTGCAGACGTGCTCCTACTTGATGGAAATGTGTAATGTTGATAATAAGGCTCCCAGAGGAATTTTGTTTGTTTGTTGAATGCCAAGGCAGGTGAAATCCAGTTCTGATGAGTTTCTCTTAAGGATGTTGAACTAGCAGAGGCTAAGAGTGCACCGTGGGCTGGGTTCTCTTCTGTTGTTGTTTCTAGAGTTGTAATTTCAAGAGTTGTAATGTACCTTTTTCCTTTCCTTTTCTGATTAGCTTGGAGAACACCATGAAAAGACCAAAGAGAGCTCCGAGTACTTGAAATACCTGACGCAGCAAGCAGTCGCTCTTCAACGCACAATGAACGAGATTTACAAGAACGGCTCCAATGCGAACATCATGCCACTTAAGGTAACCTCGTGCAATCAGAGCCAGCGAGAGCACTTGCCACGGAGGCAGATTTGTGTTTAGCTGCTGCTGAAGGACACGTCAGTGTCCATGTGTGATGTGGCTGGTGCAGGAGGTCGCAATGGCTGTGCCAGCTGCAGACCCTTCCCGGGCAGCAGGTCCCTGCAGATGTAGAGACTCAGACAGACCCAGCACAGTGTGAGCAACGTGGACTGAGTGTCCCATCTGCTTCTGCACGGAGCTGCTGTGGGCTCTGGCTCTCTCCTGAGCTCAGGCAGTTGAGTGCAGCCGACTGTTCCAGGGCATTCGGTCAGGACGCGCTGGGCAGCTCAGCATGGGAACCTGGGACACCTACGCACAAACCTGCCCCTCTGCTGACTCACTGGCTGCAGGCAGTTTGCTCAATCCGAAAGTACTTCAGTTTCCTCATCCTAAAAAATGCTGTCATCTTTCACCAGGTGCTTTGTTCTCCTTCCAAAGGTTTTGTGGTGTGGGGAGGCCGGGCAGCAGAGCGGGGCGTGGGGGGCCTGCCTTGCCTCGCCTTACACCGAGCAGATTCGCCCTCCTGGGCCAGACCCGGCTGCTCTTATCTGCCTGTGCACCCGGCAGCTCACATCAGCCTGTCTGGCGGGTGTGCTGGGTGCTCTCCCTGCTGTTCTGTACTCACGTGGCTGCCAGAAGACTGAGAGCCAGTGGGCTGGGAAAGAGGCTTCCAGCTGCAGGAACTCCCTCCCAGGGGAAAGGGCAGAGCAGGACAGCACTCGGTGGGAGCGGGTGGGTTTTCTTCTCATGGCACAGAACTGAGGCATTTATGGCAGAGTAATTTGAGCATAAGGACCTGGAATCGAATGAAGAGGTAGAAAATACAAACTCTGCCACCTTGCAGCTCCTAGTGCGTCATATGAGACGTGGCTCTTCCTCAGCTGTTGGTAAATGGTGTCTGGACCTGCTTTAGGAGCTCTAAGTTCTTCTGTCTGGGTTTTGACTTTATTTTTTTTTTCTCTTACGCTGCAGTTCACAGCTCCCAGCATGGCCAGTGTCCTGGAGCAGCTCAACATTATCAATGGAATTCTCTTCATTCCACTAAGGTAGAGTGATCCCTCTGTGTGTCATACCTTTAGAAATTGTCTTTTTTTTTGTGTAATCTTTGTTCCTGCAACAGTGTAAATGCTTCTTCCCTTTGCATTAAGAGTCACTGACCCAAAAGGTGGAGTTTTTGGTGACCTTGGATACCTCTGCTCTTTGGGCAGCACACACTGTAATGGCACAAATTGTCACTTCCCTAGTTTGAACACTACCCTGTCCTTGTGCTTCACACTGTTCCTAAAGCGACTCTAACGTTTGCTACCGTTCCTGGTTCCCCCTTCAGCCAAAAAGACTTGGAGAACCTTAAAGCAGAGGTGCAGCGACGCCAGCAGCTCCAAGAAAGCATAAAAAGTGGTGAACAGCTGGAACCAGAGGACAAAGCTGTGGAGGAGAAAGAGGCTGAGCCAAGCATGCCTTCTGCCGAGATCCCCTTAACACAGAGCTCTGCTTAATGTACCTCGCTTAAAAAAGAGAAAAAAAAAAAAAAAAAAGTTAAAACCACCCTTTTCTGAATCTGACCCGGGGGCTCGGACTCCCCTGGAGCAGCTCCTCCTTTTTTTGACAATGTTATTGCACTGGTACAATTAATACACAATGCAAAGAACTAATCTGAGAAATGTAATGTGTCTGCCTGAGCTCGTGTCTGCCACGTGCAGGGGAAGGGGGCCAGGACGCAGCAGCTGACGGGAGCCCCAGCCGGGGTGGGCGCAGCCGGGGGCTGGCAGCCTGCGTGTGTGTGTCGCTGTCGTGTGTGTGCGCGCAGAGCATCACTTATTTCTACTTTGTACATACGGATTCCAAATGAACTGTCTTGAGGTATGTAACATTTCTCAGGTCATTTTTATGTTGACTAAGGACACTGCTTTGCTAGAACAGTACAAAACCAGCCCCAGGCACTGCTCAGCAGTCGTGTAACATGTGGATTCCGAGCCAAAAGGTTTCTTTTCCCCAGTCATGATCCCACTTTGCGCGAAGGAGAACTCAGCAGCTGTGTTTGTATCACTCAGCTGCCTGATGCCTGTGCCGTGTGGCGGGGGGGGATGTACAGCGTTTTCTACATCAGGATACAGCCATTGGATTCCTTTCACCATGTTTTTTCTACTTTTGGTTGGCAGTTTGGCAACTCAGTGGGGTTTTGTAACATTCACATTCTAATTTTCAAGGTAAAGATATAGATAGAGAGAGATTATATATACATATATATATATATATATGATACTCACAGTTCCACCTCTGCTCTGCTTGCAGCTGAGTAACTTGGGATATTGTATCCAAAGAGTGAGGGCTTGACATTTAAAAAAGCGCACAAACTTCCCTTGCAATGGGAACGCCGGTGCCTCGGAGAGCCGGGCCGCGGCTGCCACCCAGGGCTGCAGGGAAACATGGCCCTAGTGAGAGGGGGTGGGAAGAGGGGAGGAAAAGTCAGACACAGGGACTTGGTCTCATTGGCAGCAGCAACTGTCACATGGAGCTGGTGGGCCCTGAGTGAACCAGACTGAATCTTGGGTTTCCCACAAGCTGTAGTCACTGGGCTTTGGGGAGGGAGTAGAAATGAGAACTCAAGAGTTCCCCCAGCTGATGCCGTCTGCCTGCTGTGTCTGCACAGGGGCGTTGAGGTTGGTGCCAGGGGAGCTTCCATTGCTGGCAATGGATGTTTCTGGAATGGCCCTTAGGTCCCCTCCCCACCGCTCACCCGTCCGTGGGGGTTGGTGGTGACCAGCGGGCGCTCCCGGCCGTGCCCGTCGCGGGGCCGGGGAGCTGTGGCCGCTGCAGGCCCTGGTTATGCCGACAGAGTTGAATGTCCTTTCCTGCAACCAGCTGGAGCTGTAGAACAACCGAGTGCTCGTCCCCAGCCGCCTGTGCTGACCAAGGAGTCCGGCCTCTTTCTCCCTCTCGTGTTGTCTGTCATGGATCATACCCTGTGCTGATTTGCATTGCTTCTTTTACTGACCTTCTGGAGAACAAGTGCTGTCACTGTGCTCTGTACCCTTGGGTTCCTGTACGGCATTACAGGTATTTGTAACTCTTGGTGGGGGGGAAGGGAAGGGGGAGCAGCCTCTGAGTTGTGAGAGGCAACGAAGCAGGAGCCTTTACTGCAAAAGAACTTGTTCCTATTAGAAAAATTCTGAATTTCCTGGAAAGCAATCAATAAATGACTACAGTGCATCTTTCCTACAAGATTTTTCTTTTACTAGTGTCTTTCAGTCCATTAAAAGCTTTTTAAACTATTTTAGGTACTTTATTGGTTTATTTACAGCTTGGTGCAGGGTGTTGGATACCGTTAAATCTGAACACCATCCCTGGAGCCACCACTTCTGCTCTGCTGGAACTGCACCGATGCTGCTCTGCAGGGTGCAGTGGCCCGTGAAGCACCACGGCACCTGCAGACACTTGTTCTCTGCCCCCAGCACATGTTTTCCCCAGCTCACGCTCCCGAGTGATGCTCAGGGCTGGCGTGTGCACACCGGGTTGTTCTACTGACCTGCACGGCGGCAGGAGCAGCAGTGAGACCATTGTGGAAGGTTGTGTGGTCCCTGCACCACATCAGTGAGCTGCACGGTTCACAGCCTCGCACAGTTAACACTCTCTTGTCTCTGTGCCCCCTTTTCCTCTAACAAAGTGTCCCTGTGGACAAAGGAATCGACCCCAAAAGTCTCTGGATTTTCACAAATGTGAAATGAAGCTGAAGGACACAAATCCTGGCCCCTGAGGCTGCACAGCGAGGCAGCGCGAGTGCCATCATTAGTTGTTAAATAACTGCATTTAACGATGTAAGGTCTGAAAGTCTCTACACCTCTTCTGGGGTTTGGGTGTGCTCACTTCACAAGTTCTACAAGAAAAATGAACATAGAACTGACTCAAACTAGTGCTGAGGAGGTCCCATGCCAAGAGGAGGGAGGGCAATCGGGAAACTGAACACAACTCTCCCATCCCTGGAACGAGCGGCCTCTGTGAGGGCAGCTCTGCCCCTGGTTCATGCTGTTACACACCGTCCACCTTCTCACAAGGTGGAATCAGATCCTGCCTGAGCCAGCCCTGATTTAACGCCCCGTGTGTAGATGTCACATAGAAGCACTGAGCCTCAGCTGCTCCCACAGCCGGCAGGTCACTGCACAGCCCTGCCCGAGAGAAAGAGCGCAGCAAATTCTCTTCTCTCAGAGAAATGACAAACTTGAGCGATCCTGAAGGAGGCAGCTAGAAACACACTATTGTTACCCTGGCCTTCCAGACAGGGACTGCCAGCACTCAGTGTCATCACACACACCACAAACCATTACAGCTACAACTTCCTTTCAAGAAACAGTCACCAGTTAAACCTTCACTGGATTTAGTGGCCGAACTGTTCAGAGAAGCCTACTCCATCGAGTACATCACCTTCCTTCCCATCGCTGCCACAACTCCTGGTCATGATATCTCTTCATACTCAACCCTGTTTGCTGAGGAATGGTTTAACACCCATCAGTGCTGTTATCAAAACTGGAAACAGCTGGTGGTAACTACTCACACACTTAGAAAGCTGCTTTCAGTGAGGCACTCGCTGCATCAAGTCACCAAGCTGAAGGGGAAAGGGAAATTCTTTGATTACCCCGACTGCCCTTAGCAACTTACACATTAATATCTCTTTGATAAGGATCCTGTGTTTACAGGGGTACAGGAGGCTTCCCCTTCCACCACCACCTCAGGACACCCCTTCACCTCGGCCAGGACACCTGACACACACGTTGGCTGTGGCAGAGCCTGAAATTCGGCTGGTTTTCCCCAAGGAAAGTCAACCTGCTCCAAAAGCCCATCCCAGGTCCATTCCTTTTTTTTTGAGATGCTCACACAGAGCAGAGCTGGCAGGAGCTCTGCTTCATCCTCTCCCCCACATCATGGTCAAGGTCACGTCCTGCTCTTCCATCAATGAAGAAACACACACTTCCATTTAAGTTCACTGACCCATTTCTAAGCAGCACTCAAGGCTCTCAGACATTTCTAAGCAGCACTCAGACTACAGAAAAGCAAACTCCACACAACAGAACTCGCCCCCATGAAAACAGCCACTCCAAGAGCCGTTCAGTGCCCCAGCTCCTCCACCGCCCGGCTGCTGCTGCCCTGGAAAGCAGAGCCAGGTCAGCCCCAGGCTCAATGAGTGCACCCCACAGGGTCAACAGCTCCAGCAGAGCCCAGGAAAGACACAGCAACAGATGGTTCTCACCAGGTCTGGTCTGAGGGTTCAAGGTAAGAGGAGAAAAAACAAAACCAAAAAAACCCTCAAACAAAACAAAAACCAGTCAAACAAAGCAACAGGACAGGACAGGGAGGGAGGGGGCTCCTGTCACACACCCCTTCCCTTCCCAGCACCAACACTGGCCACCAGCCCTCCCAGTGGGGCAGGAAACCTTCCCGTGCGCACCAACACCTCCAGCGGGACACGGGGACACGCCAGCACCTCCAGCACGCTCTGCTCCCACCACTGCCCTGGAACTCCACTGAGCCACTTCCAGGGGACAGCACCGTCTGCAGCGCCAAGGCTGATGGGCCAGAGGCTTCTGCCAGAGCCACCCGGCCAGCGAGGCCACGGCCAGGGAGGGCACAGCAGCCAGGGCACAGCCAGGCAGGCGGCCGCTGTAGGGGAAGGGACAGCACCCACCTTCAGCACAGCGCGAGGAACAACGCTCTCCCCGATCACCTGTGAAACCAGCACAAGAAACACACACATTTTAGATCAAACCTCACTTCACCCTATTACCCAATAAAGCCTGTGCCTATTCCAGCTGTAACCAGCCGCCTTAACAACGCCCCCCACGTCTCCTCAGACTGCAAATTAGCTAAAAGAAAAAGCAGCTGTGGAGCAATATCTGAAGGGTGAAACACCAACAGCTTTCTTCAAAATAAGTTTTAATTCTTGCATCCAAGGAAACAAAAACACATCTAGTTTTATATGCATTTAATAGTTTACCAATTGGTACAATAAGATTTTTTTAATATGCAGAAAACATGAATAAATTTTGTTTTACACAGTCTGAGAGCAACAAATCTTACTGTAAAACACAGAGCAGTATTATATACATTCCTTTACTGATTTTTTTTTTTTTTCCTCAATTGTGTCAATAGCTTCAGTTAACTCCTACAGTCTGGGAACTGTTTTCTCCAATTGCAACCTCTAACATCGTTCTTATGAAAAAATTCGATGTTTGCCTTCGTGTCAATGTCAGGATCAACTTCTAAACCTTGAAGATTTTGCTAACGTCTCTTCAGGATGAAGGTGGGGAAGCCCGAGGGGTAGGTAGGACGAGAAAGCAGCTACTTACATGACACAGTGGAAAGATAAAAAGGCCAGTTAAATCCAGTTGTGACTTGTAAATCCAACTCACCCTTCCCCACTCACGCCAACACCTGTATCTCTACCATTTTATGCACCTATTCTTTGCTAGAAGATTCTCGGTATTGACTTTTTTAAATACACTGGACTTTATGTACAGCTGGAGAGCAAATAACTCACTCTAAGTGCGTTTTTCCTTCACTCAACTCAGGTTTGTTTTGTTTTTTTTTAATATTCAAATCATTAAAAGGATTATCAAGCCACCACTGTCTACAAAAACAAAGAAGAATCTTTTTCTTTTAAACAGCTTTCACCCGAGTCAAAAGCTATTTAAGAGTGATATTATCAGGCAGTTCACATAAAAACAGGAGGAGGCAAACAGGAGAAGCAGGGTACTGACAGTATAAGTAGACTGGGCTCGGTGAGTCTATAGCCAAAGCTTTCAAAACACTACAGTGCTCCACAGCCCTTGGACAACTTGCTAGCAACTAGATTTTTTTTTTTTTTTTCTTTTTCTTTTTAATTAGTGCCCCGGGCACATCATTGGTCACACCACACACAAAAGCAGGACGGTTTTGTTTTTGTTT